CTGACCAATTCCACTCCACTATCAATAACGATGTTATACATATTCTTAATCCTTCCAGTGCTATATCCCGGTGTTAGCAGTTTTCTGTGAGCTCTCCAGTCTGGATTCCTCATCAATGGAAGTAAATCAGACCCCAAATCGCCTTTTCTCTGCGCCAGAGTCCTATCGGAGAAATTATTGAACTCTGTCACCCATATCAGTTTGATTACTTCCAAATCCTTCAAAATCATAGCGGGCTTATCCATGAGGAAAAATCCGACGAGAGGTCCTTCAAGCTGGTCATAGATATCCTTGAGGACTACTCCCAAGTTTTTCTTGAAAGTCATCACACCTTTTATGTTCCCGAAGAATGGTGTCGGTTTAATGTAGGCTATTTGTCTACTTTTGAAATAGTTGAAGTGTCTGGTCCAATATAAGTAGGTCAGGAAGACGATTATCAGGACGCAGATTGAAAAGTCCATGAAATGATTTGATGTCGGGAACATCTGAAACAGTAACAGATGCAAGTGACAATTTCACGACGAATATCTCAGAACAATATGGAAATATAATTGCTTGCGATATATTGACCAATAAAAATGGTTAGACGATAAAACCACGTTGTCAGGGGTTTCAAAGGGGTTCCCAACACACAAACAGTAACAAATTTGAGGTGACGACAATCAGAGTGACTATTTATTCATTTTTGTAACAAAATTGATTCTATTGATTTCATATATGGTGCCAATCACGAACCATATTAATTCTAACTCGAGTTGGATTGCCTTAAGCAGCGTTCACAACCAAACTTTCTACAATCTGCTCCTTAAGTTACGTATTCTGCTTGGTGAAGCAAAATCTAGAAGTGAATGTCGCAAGACGCTGAAAATATTCAGCTCTTCGCGTTGCAATATGCCATCGTCGGTGGAGATGGTAAAACTATACATTATATAATGGTGTTATCGACATTAAAAATACTACTATTGTTAGTTGTGATTTCAATAGAATATCACATGTTTATGGAACATTCTATAGAAGTTATGATGGAGTTCTTGCTGATCATAATTACTTTGTGAATCTATTGAATAGTAGATAGTTAGGTAGGTAGGTACTGTTCATTTATCATTGATTGATTGATTCTTCCTTCAAGTATTAAATGAGGAGCAATTTACGTCTCTGCTAGTTCAATAAATAGCTATTGTTATTCAATCAATATATTTGTTAGGATCATTTCACTTTATTTTAGGATGGAACACAAATGACAAAACCGATGATAAAATTAGATAGATGAAAGATAAAAACTAACGTTGACGTTATTTTGTTGAAAATTACATTTTCCTCAGTTCAATTCACGTTCAATATCAGATTCAACTTTTCCAATCAAAATACGAAACATAAAGAGAAAAACGTGGAAAGTTTTTATATATATAGTTGTTTTTGTACCAATGACGGAACACTGTCTATAATAGTCGAGTCTGCAAATTGATAGTCGAAGCCCTAGCCGAGGCTAGCAATCAGGCGAGACACTAGACAGTTTTTTGCCGAGGTAAATATAACATTTCATTGTCGACCTCAAACACTCATATTCACATCCCGGTCCTATTCTGACGTGGAATCTTTCGGATTTAGTGAATAATCAATTTGACAACAGCAAATGACAGTTGTTGTCAACTCACTCTCTGCCTGAACAAGGGTTGTCAGTTTTATTCTCATTTCATCATCATCGTCGAATTCAGCAAATTTTAATATATTCGTTTTAAGATCAATTTCATGATATACAAATTCCAAGAAAGAATAATGGAATGTACCTATGACGTCAAATCCTTATTCACACTCAGTGAACAGGAAAGTGACCCATTTCTAACAAAAAAAAAACGATCAAAACAAATATTCCTTGCCTGAGAAAGTATTGCCAAGAACTCATAATCTCCAGATATTTGAAATAAATTCCAACACCTATCTCCTCTTCCTATCCTCCCTAGGTACGCACCATGTTTCTATAAAATGATGAAAAAATATAGGTGATTATTAGTATAAATGAGTGTCAAAAATTTTCTCACTGGATTATAAAATGTTTCAGTAGATCAGTAGATCAATATGCAAATCAGGAGCTCTCCTGAGAATTCAGTTAAAGTGGCAGCCCTGCTTTCTTTCGGAAATTAGGGATTAAATTGTGATTTATTGTAGAGGTCGACGAAATAATACGATTCGTGATAACAATACTATCCTGAATTCTGTCTGGAATCTTGAACGCGATCCAATGAGGGCTCACATCATTTTTTGACCACGAAATTGCGTTTCTGAAACGTGAGGTTGAAGTTGGTAGAACTGTTGAATAAACTCCTTTTTCCGTGTCATTTTGAAAATGAGAATGCAAGTCCGCTCAAGTCCTACAATAACATTTTATATCCGTCTGCATATGGGCCACATCATTTTCCAAAATATTCTCGATGAAACAAGCAACATTCGTCAGGCTTATCTGGTGAAATTTAGAGACTTTTGACTTCAACATTTACCTAATGTTTCCGTGACGCCAACTGGTGAGACTGAGAATGTTAATATAATGAATGATAAAGCAACCTCTGACAGCTCCTGTCTGATATCTTATTATGTTTTTTCATATCAATCCAATAACCTTGTCATCAGCAAAGGGTCCACATTTCATGGTTTGGGGTAGTAGTTTTCTTTCAATATATCGTTTGGGATAGTACAAAGATGCCTAATCCTATTCTTTGATCTCGGCGATCTTCCGGATCACCGCTATATAATGTTTAAACGGCTAAAAATCTGCACTTTCTTCCATATTTCGCCATGTTTCACCGTAAAGGAGTACTTTTTCTACGAAGACAGTATTATCTATTTCGAAAATAACATAAAATTTCTTGAGTATTGATCTGAATATGATGCCACCCATCACAGTCAACATAATAATCAGAACTACCTCATTTGATGCTGGGTAAAATGTACCATTTTACTGGACTAAATCGGAGCTGGTAAAGTTTATCCAAAAACAATTGCAGATTCTCGTGCCGCACCTGCAGTCACTTCAAAGGAAACATCAAACACGCCGACGCCGCATAGTGCGAGATATTCTGCAACTGATATTGGATATACTATAGATATCTTCATTATTCAGTTTCTCTCAGTGTGCATTGCATTACTGCAAGTATTGTCGAAGAAAATCCCAGAGGAACTCAGATATTCCAATTTCCGAGATTATGCTTACAACATAATTTGTCACTCGAATATTGATTTGTTCTATTCGAATATGATTAGCTTTGAGAAGAAACTGCGGCGATTCTTGCTTGATTTCTATGCACCCACATCAGTTGGAAATCAAAATAGTTTGTATTATTATTATTTCTACTATCATATTATTACTATTTCTTACTGCACTTGTAAAATTTGCACCTTCGTATGTAAGTAAAAACTCTCAACATATTGTCATAGCTATTGATATAAGGATGAACCACTAAGGTTCATCTGTTTGGATGATCCACAAATGAATCAATAAATGAATAAATAGGGGACAGCTGTGTTCATTTGCTTCCATAGATGAAGTTGATTTTCAGGTGGCTTATATTTATAGCAGCATATCCAATTTACAAACTTGTATGAATAGCGCTGCTGAATCACTACAACTTTTTCTAGTTTCTATGATAACACAGAGTGTCGAATGAGAACTATTCCCATATAAATGTTGCAGTCACTAATCCACTCTACAATGGTTATTAGACTATCGTCATTTATATCAGCCTGTTTTTATTCGTCTCATTTCATTAAAGTTATCTGATATCTGAATGAAACCTGACATGTTGAGATGTTATTGTAGTATAGCTCATTCTCAACAGTTATCCCAATATTTTTCTCAAGGATAGCGAAAGAAAGATATGATCCAAATTTGGAGAATTTCTGATATACTCACGAAGACAAGCCCCTTATTGATGACATAGGGATACATATTCTAGTAATCGTCAAAAATCTATCACCAACTTAATTTTCCGAAAATAATTGATTCATGTCCCTGTGTAATGATTCAAGTGTGATTGTAGTAGTAACGTGATACTGAGAAAAAAATGGTAACATCGATACCTAACAAAATCCTCAGGACAAAACTACTCACAAATTTCCTTCTGGTCTTGGTTCAAGTAAATTAAATATCATAAATGAACTATGAGCTCTTGATGTTATTCTTGATGAAGAAAATATAACTTCGTGAAATATTTCAATCAACAATATCTCAACAAAAATATTTGAGAACTTACTAATACCTGAAGAAATGAGTGAATAATGATATTTACTATACTCAAGTCACAATGAAGAAAACATACATTTTCAACTGAATTCACCATGAATATCTGAACAAATAAAAAAAAAGATACTTCTGCGACTGTCAAATGGATATATAACTCTTGACCCTATTCTCTTAACCATTATTTCTCAACCCAATTTATGTAGTTATGACTCACAGTCCATAGGTACGTTCACAGTCAGCAATATCAAAATTTTGCTACATCACACTTCTCCACCAAACGACATGGTCCTATCGATTCGGATGATCGAAACCATTGAACAATAACTGTACACGGGTTTCCTTGACCGATAACAAAAGTGGAAATTAACGGGATCTCTAGCGATGTCACCCCCAAAATTAATGAAAAATCTGAGTGAACAAATGAGCCGAATCACGATTGTAGAATGATTTTCCCATAACCGTCATGAATGTGAATTGCTATAGTTATTCGTCAACGTACAATGCTAGAAACCCAAACAGCTATGTTTATCGGAACAAACATTATTCGAATTCACCAATCAGATAATAATAATAATAGGTCTTTATAAGGCGGAAGTTTAGTATAAAACTATTCTAACACTTTAACCTAACAATTGTGAATGAACATAGATATCATTGTAGCATTCAACGTAATCAGAACTATACTCTGTATTGAAAACAAAGAAAAAAAAATTAGAAGAAGAAAAATTCTTGACGAATGTGAGAGATAGATATATTATGAGATATGGCTTTCTATTAAGAGTTCAGGATGATCTTTTTGGCTAGAGGAGGGATATAGATTCATTGAGCTTTTCAAATTCTTACAATGAGCTGACGGTCAATTGTTTGGCTAGAAGGATTTTTTTTTAAATTTGCCTTAAATGAATTTACTGACATTCTCTTCAGATGGCCATCTAAATTATTATAAATATGAGGAGCTTCGTAGGCAAAGGAAGATTCGAATTTCTCTGTTTGGTGTGCTGGAATATGAATATAATACTGGGCACGAATATTAATATTATGGAGTTGACCGCGAAATCTCAATTTCTCATAAAGATAAGATGGTGTCTTCGTTAAAATGATAATTCACGAAACGATAGCTAGGTCGATAAAAAATTTAAATAGACTAGAATTTACAAAATACTCATGATGTCATAAAACACACTTGCGTAATGATGGTAGCAAATGTCCATTCAAGGATATGACAAG